TTTAGTTTTGTTCTTTCTCCACATAGCAATCAGAATGATCTCTGCAAAACCATAATAGGATCCTACACATAATTAAACATTGATATCAAGTTACAGTTCACTCTGAACTCCACCCGATTCTCCACGGGAAACTCAAGGTCCTCTCGCCCGTGTTCGCTTCCAGATGCGTCATGCACCATGGCTGTGTACTTGCCTTCCAAGCTCTGCCTGTGTACAGCTTCACTTCGTTCTAGCTGTGCGTGACAAAGGACTTCACAGTTGCTGGTAACTCTACCTGGCCTAGTGATCTCCCTTTACCCAGCAAGCCCCAGTCGCCACGGAGGACTCAGTGCCATTGTTATTTCCTCAGAGAAGCCTTCCCCTGACCCCCCACACTGAGCAGCTCCTCTTTCTGCCGTCGTTTAGCAAACCTTAATTACTCATCTGTTTTCCATGCTAGATCTGCTTGTGCAGTAGTCTGCATGACATCACTTATTGCCAGTTTGGGAAATCCCAGTGAATGCAGTATCCAAGCCCATTTGGCTCCACGCTGGTGTCCAGAGCGTGTCCAGTGCTGGCACAGGGTAATTCCTCAGCAAGCGTTTGTGGCCTGAGTGCAAGGATGAACCCGTGTTATTGGTCGTGGAGCTCCTTTTCCCAGCATAGCTCTCTACTAAATTAATCAGAACTTATATAGATTTTTCTTTTTTCGGGAAACATGTATGTAGAAATGACCTTCTGATACTTGAATTATTTGAATAACACTTAGAAAACTATCAGGCAAAGTCTTAAAAAAATTAAACCTAGTTACAAAGGAACTCTTCCTTCTGAGGTTTAATCAGATGAGACTTCAACTAAGCAGGAAGCAGCCTTACACTGTTGTTGAGTAAGGGCTGTGATGTACAGACAAGATCATTTGTAGAACACACACTTGAGCTTCATACACCCTCTTGTTGGAACATTTGATTCTTTGTCTAGGATTCAACTCTGTGCTTATCCTCAGATAGGAAAGTGCTTTAGAATTCTATGCTTGGTTTTGATTCCTTTTGCTTCACCATAGTGTACAGCCTCTGCTTCTAAACATGATGTGTGCTTCTAAAAATCATTGCACTCTGCAAAACCACACAATAGACAGCACAACACTTATGAAGGGGTGAAAGGTACAAAAGCTTTGTCCCAAAAAAGGAGACCAGCAGAAATGGAAGCTAAGCTTTCTATGTCTTACATGGGTAAGAAATGCATAAATGGTATAATACATTTGATGCTTTACCTTGACAGAGACTGGCAGTTTGACGGCAGAAGTGAGGATTAGAAAAGATGCATCTTGTGAGTTCTCAAGTTAGGGAAGGGAAGGCTGCCTGAAGTCAGAGGGAAGGCTGCAGTGCAGACGCGACTGAGCGTGGCTCATGATATGCCGTGGTAGTCCGAAGTCTGTTTGAAATGTGTGTGTTCTGTGTTTATACACATGTTGGCTCAGCTGGGAATATTTTCCGTGCCTACCAACTTTTTTTTTGTCATGAGTGAAATCTGGCAGAAGCAAATGTGAGATTTGTGTCACTCAAAGAATGTTCCCTGGCATAACAATTGCATTGGGAAAAATTTGCCTTTTAAAATAGCAGAACTGCCTCTAGGATAAAGCAAAAGGGTTAGACAAATGTAATTCTAGTTTCAGAGCTGCCGTTTGTGTCCTGGGCAAGCTTCTTCTCTCCCTGCTTGCACATTTCCATGGAGGGGATCGCAACTAAGACCACTGTCTTGTGGGGAACAGATACAACAGTATGTGAAAACAGATACAAGGAAGACGCAAACAGTTTCGAAATGCCTCACTTCTCTTTCTTCTCCTTGCTGGGAAAGATGCTAACTTGTGGGAGGAAAATCAAAATTATTTTGACAGCCAATAAATTTATATCCAGGACACAAATAATAAAGCAATTCTAGACAAGCTATAGATACTATCTCTTTCTGCCTTTAGTCACTTAAAAGAAATCAGGCAAACCTCATGCATTTGGGATACAAGTACAGGTGTGCGCTCTTGTCAAGCTTTGATGGTTTAATCAAAACAGATGTTTGAAGAAAACATATTATAGTAAAAGCTTCCCTTCACAGGCTGAATTCCTTGGAATTAATTCCTTGTTTTAGGGTGTATGTGTGTGTGGGGGGGTGTCCATGTTTGGAAAAGCACTGACAAATTGAACAGAAAGGATTATTCATGTGAAAAAGGCTCTTAGATATTGGCACTCTTTGATACGGCATTAACTGCCTCTGTATAGTATTTGATTTTTAATTTTTTTTTGAAGTAAAGGTGGCGTTTTCTCTGTAAAACTTTACAGCATTCATAGATATGCTTTTGATCTAGTTAACGTGCTACTTCCCCTCATGTTTCTGTAATCAATGCACAGTGTCCCAAATCCAGCTAGAAAGGTGACTTGCTATACAACTCCTGGTACAGGGGGTCAATATAGAGAGGAATGTTGTGTGTAATAACTCAATATTTAATTTCTGTTGATGATATTTTACCCTTTCTATGGAATTTACTTTAATTAACACATTCATCTTACCAAACCAACTTTCCAAAACTTCCACAATAAAAACTTGATTTTTATTTTTACTCATCAATTTACACTAATATCTTTACCTTCGTAGTGGTTTTTTTGAGCATTTTTCCAAAGTAACAGAATAAATACTTGGTTTTAATTTCTTTCTGGTGTAGAATAATAGTAACACATTCTGGGAGTTAAAAATAGTCTGTGTTAGGGGTAAGCAAAAGACCAGTTCCATAATCAATAAGCAAATATATTTCCAGCGCTACTGTGTATTAAGCAACATGGAGGAAAAATATAAACTACTTGTGCTTAGAATCTTGAACAAAAATTTACTGACCTGGGTAATTCTGATGAGTGCAGGTAAAAAAAATAACAACTCCAAAAAGCGAGGACCTCAAAGGCGATAGACACAGTAGGTGCTGTTGGAACGCAGCGAAGAGAATGATAACGTGGCATAGGAAGCATTCCAGAGGGCAAGGCAGAAAGCTGAGCCTGCAAGGAACGCTAGCCTCTCGACAGAGACCTCAGAGAGCTTTTCAAGTGGTAGCAAGGGTATAGTCCAAGGTGCGGGGAATGTTTAAGTATTTTTAGAGGCTTGTGATTCATTTCTAGATGATAGTCGATTTTCTTCATGGTTCTCAGGGAAACTTTTTCCTCAGAAGTTAGAGTAGGAGGAAATTGATCTTTGCTATCACTCAGGGTAACTCTGCCCCATGCAATGGGTCATATTTAACCCTGAGTAATCCATGAGACTGAGTCATACTGCCTGATTTATTTTGCACAAAGGACTCTGCTGCTTTTCTTTCCATTTAGGGATGTATGTGTCTTGCAATGAGGCATCGTGTCTGTAGAGGATTTCTAACTGGCAGTCAACTTACTGCACCCAGCTGAATTAAACTAGCATGGTGCTGGGTGCAGGAGGCCCATGTGAGGGTTGCTGCCAACAACATAAAGGCAGAACAGGAGAAATTGCCTAAATGCTGTCAGGAATGCTATTTGAAGAAGCTTTTGGAGCTATTGGAAGCTGCTGGTTGGGCTGTTCTGCTGGAGGATCTTGTTGTGCTGGCTTTCCTGATGAACTTTGCAACAACTTTGGTCCTCATCTTGAGCATCATTTCCTGGCTCCGGAGGAGAAGGTGGTGTACTGCTCAAGCTCATGGAGAAATTTGTCACATTGGCTTTCCTGATGGGAACTCAGCTTTCCTCATTGCTGGAGGAGGAGCTTGGGACTTCACTGTTGCTGAGGATGGCTGTGGGACTTTTGGAGGAACTCTGGTGCTTACCTCGAGCATTGCTTCCTAGCTCCAGTTCACATCCCTCAGCTTCTAGCGCAGATCCTTCTCCCACTGGTGCAGACCTCGTAGCTTCTGCCACTGACCTTTGGGCCTTTCTAGCACAGATCCATGAAGCCAACCCACATGAGACTTCATTGTGGGCTGCAGGCCTCCAGTTGGACTTGTTGGAGGAATTGTAATGAGGTCTAGGTCTTCAGGTGGAGTCATGCAGGATATCAGGGTCTAGTTCCTCAGCTGCAGAATTCAGAGTTTGTGTGGACAGATTTCTTGCACTCCTTGTATATTGTTCTTGGGTGATTCATTATAGAATACTATTATAAAATGTGACCTCTATTATATTGTTCCTCTTGCAAAAACCCCAAGCCAGGACAGTGTCTTTGGTTCTTATAATAGAATTGTGTATCCTCAATGCAAAGTGCTCAATTTAGTAACAGCAATAACTATAACAACATATTATTCTTACAAAATGGCAATAACAACAGCAAAGCACAAACAGAAAAGACATTAGATAGCACAGCCGGTATTATCAGGAGGATCGCAGCTCTATGCAGAACTATCTATTCTGGATCATTTAGGCCTCCTTTTAATCCCTTATGCCCATTGGTGAGATGAGCTACTTTTCTTGGATTATAAAATCCATGGGTGGTTTCCTTATTTTTTTTTTTTCTCTTTGAAAGCCTAACTGAACAAAATGAAAACTGATCTTTAGTTTCATTCTCATCAACTCTGTGTTCTAATTAGCTCAAAATTCTTGATCCTTCTATAAAATAAACAGCAATGTTTTCTCAAAACCATGATTTAGAAATTGAAGAAATAAAATAATTGTGAATAAATAGTGATGCTCTTATTAATTACTGTACGCATTTTTGTGCTTTTGATACTATTTGGGGTCATAGTTCTTCCTAGGAAGCCAACTAATTTAGTAGAAATTATTCAAGTGTCACAGTCATATCAGCCAGGATTCTGTTACTGTGTGGTTTCTGTGATCCTGGATACATTATCTAGATTTCTTTGATCCTTGGTTTCCTGTTCTTTAAGAGGATTAATAACAGAACCAACTTCATAGTTATTAGCAGGATATCTATCTATCTATCTATCTAGTTAGCACTTAGGAATCATTTGTTGCCATTTGTTTTTGTTATAAACCCTTTGTTAAAAGTCATGCCTTTTCTGCTTTTCACAGCATGAGAAGCTGATACATGAGTTGGAAGAGGAGAGACATTTGCGTCTTCAAAGTGAAAAGCGGTTGCGGGAGGTGACCCTTGAGTCCGAGTGCAACAGAGCTCAGATGCGAGGCCTGCAGCAGCAGTTCTCCAGGTATTGTTGTGAAGCAGTGACTGCAGGAGCAGCACCCCCTGCACCGCTAACACCCGGGATTGAATTTCTGTTGTTGCATTTGACCAGCTGATTCTCCAGCAGCTTAGACCTTCTATTCTGGCCAAGCCATCGCGTTATGTCTAGACCGATTTTGTGAAGGTTCCCATTTGCACCTGGCATAGTCCGGGCCTTGCTGGAGCTGGTTGTGCATTCTTCCCCAGTGGCTTTCCCAAAGGTCATTCAGTGAGTTCACAGTGGTTTTGCAGCCTGTGGGTGTGCTTGGTGTAAAGCCAGCTAAGAGCATGAGATTCCCTGGTTATCACAATCCTGTTTTACGATAGAGATTGTGGATCCAGTTACTCAGCTGATTCTTATTCATTTATGAGAGATGCAAAGAAAAGGAATTCTTGTCTTTTGAAAGGATTCATCTGGCTTTGGAATGTAGCTCTTGTAGATTCTGAAGTGTAGCTCTTCTTAGATGTTCTTCTAGCACAGCCAGAAGCTTTCCATTCTGATCATAGGGTGGGTCCAAGTGACAGCTCAAAGGTACTAAGTTGAGATCCCTAAGTTCCATGGAATACACATACACGTGCATGTTTTGGGGACCATGGCCAGGTTCCCTGTGAGGGACACTTCACCTTATTCCTGGGATGTTAAGGACTTTCTCATTTTGAAGCTTTCCTAAAAGCTTCATTTTTGCAGGTGCTACAGGGAGAAACCAAACTTTGGCCTCAAAGTCATTGAGCTTACCACAGCTCATTCAGTGAGCACTGCGGCTTTGGTTCAGAGGTTTCTTTTAGGACAAAGGGAAGAAAGATGGATGATTCCTCTATGCTGAGCATCATAACTTCACATGCTGTTCAACTCAAGCCTCTGATAATACGGAGCTGCAGTAGAAATGCGCCAGGCAATAATTTAACAAATGCATGGCCCACCGCTCGAAGTGTATTATTTATTCCACCTTATCCTCTATTTTTCACTCCTTTAACGGGGCTTCTCACTTTATATGTACCAACTGGTAATAATAGATTTTACCCAAAAAAACTTACTTTAAAGGAAGCACTGTGTGTAATCCTTCCTGGCGTAATGATGAAGGAAAGGAGGAGACAACCTTTTTCTCTGCACTAATTGATGTATCTCTGTGTTCAGGCTATTGATCATCATGATGCGATACGCATGCACAGTAAGTTATTTTCAGGTGATGCTGGACCATCTACTGTAGATTAGATGCCAACTGAGACTACTTCTCAGGCTGAAAGAAAATAGTTGTGTGTACAATATATAGGGCTTAGTTTGGCACCTTATTTTTGTGTTTTTTTTATTTTAGGGAAGGGTCTACAGGGTGTTTAGGGTCTCACTACTACATTGGATTCACAGTGATCTGCCTGTTTACAGCCTCCCAAGAGCTGGGATTATAGACGCATGCCACTACGCCCAATCTCAGCAATCCCTGGGGATGGGGCTGGCACAGCAGGCCTGGGGATCGAACCCATGGCCCCTGCACCTGCATCCAGGTACTTTAATCTACTGAGCTATTTGGCCGGCCCTAGGAGCTTTTTTAATGTAATCAGTTTTTTTTTAAAAAAAATATTTCATTTATTTATTCATTTGTCATTGGTTCTCACTATGCACCTCAGATTTGTACTGATCCTGCTATCTCAGCCTCCCCAGGCTGGGATTACAGGCATGCACCACCACGCCCAGTTTCGGTGGTCAGCATGGCAGCACAGTGTGCAGCACTGAGGATGGAACCTGGGTCCTTCTACTTGCCAGGCAGATGCTTGTACTGCTGAGCTATCTCCCCAGCCCCTTTGGTTTGTTTGTTTATTTTAGGGAAGGGTCTACACAATGTTCAGGGTCTCATACGAGATCAGACTGCTGGTGATCCACCTGTTTACAGCCTCCCAAGAGCTGGGATTACAGGTGCGCACCACCACAGCCAGTCTCAGTTGCCCTCTCAGCACACCCCAGGTATGGAACCCCCGGCCTCTGCACCTGCTTGCAGGTGCTTTAATCCACTGAGCTCTTTGGCTGGCCCCCTGGAATCAGTTTTTATGTAAAATTTCACTACAACAGTAAAGTGCAGGTAGTCCAGTTACAGCAAGACAGCTACTGTAATTCAGCAAAAATGGGAGTAATCATACAGAGCAGATGATCACACAATAATTTGAGTCTAGCTACTGAACCATTTCCGGTAAACAGTAACAGTTTAAATTTCACTTGTGAAGATACTTCTAGTAATTTCTTTTCAAACACTCTTGTTAATTTAAGTCTTTGTAAAATTGTGAGAATTATAGAACGTGTCTCTATGTACCATCCTTGGCTATTATTGGCATCTAAATGATAATGAAAATATTTTATACAATCAAAACTATTATATTTAACACTTTACATCCATAATTTTATCATTTTTACTGTGAGTTGACATGATACTATCAGGGATGTGGGATTAGTTTGTGTCCTTGCTGATGTTATTTTTTTTTTTAAACTTAAGTTGATAAACTGTTTAAAAGTGTGATGCAACTTACAATAAGATGTAGAATTAAAATAAGGCTGAAAAAATAGAAAGCAAAAGACCACAATAGGAGAATGTGACAGTTCATAATAATTCCACAGTTACCAAGTGTTCTGAGAATGAGCGTTTAATTTAGGTCTAAGATTCCTGGTTGGCAGGTTTTAAAGGAGAGCATAAGAGATAGATAATTCTTACCTCATAGTCAAAGGGGACTACACTTTAAAGAGAAAAACATCACCTCAGGCAGTAAGTTCATAATCTAATGCATCACTGAGGTCCCTTCGTTGCACTGAAAATGTTGAAAGGTACAGGAGATGGTTGTGCAGGACTGTGTATATTAGAGTGGATTCTTGTGAGTGCTGTGGTCTCAATATTTTTTGTCTGAAAAATTAAGCAGTCTCTGAGTTTCATAATATACAGACTGATAACATGTCTGAGGGAACAGGTGAGCTAAGAATTTGTGAATTCTTTTCACAAATTCATGGGAATACACACATCTGTGTGTGTATGTTTGTGTGTTTGTGTGTGTGTGCATGTGTGTATGTGTGCCTTTCTAGTACTATTTTTGTGGAACTTCCACAAAGAAGCATGAGATACAGAAGCCAGAACCTGGCTGACTAAAGTGTTTCCTGGTGCCTTGGTGGCCCTGTAGATAGGGGAGCCACTAAGCAGTACTCGGGGTCTAGGTACTTGAGCCCCTGATCTTAGTGCATGGGACTAAGTGGGGCAAGGCAGAGAGATTTTAGGTGCTGGGCTAGTTACATGTATGAGAAGGCAGTGGTTAGGCATCCAGGTCACTCAGGAGGGATGGTCCAGGGCTTGGTTTTACCCAGACCCAGCTATGTGATGGGGCTGTTGGTTTGAAGACACCAAGTAAACCTGAACATGGGGATTATCTGTCTCAATGAGTAAGTGGGACCACTTAGTGGTAAATCTATAAAAATGTTTGAATGAATAGTCTCATTATGTTACCATGGAAGCCTCACTATGGTTTGATCCCTGGTACCAAAAAGAAAACCCTCAGCTGCAGTGCTTTCCTCCTCCTTGACCCCTGCCTAGTGTGTAATGACTTGCAGTGGTTCCAATTTGGGCAATTAAAATAAAAGGACATGAAGCCAGAGGTTACATGATCAGATCTAAACTTATACATCAGGGATATGCTGCATTAGGGATGCCCAATGGGTGTAGCAAACTTGTTCAGACTCTTTACATTCTTTAAGATAAAAATAGAGACTGCGATAGAAAAGATTGCTTACAAGCAGGCTTTCCATATGGCTGTGAGAGCACCTCAGACAGGGAGTCCTTAGAAGCAGGTTGGGGTAGCTGTAGGGCTGCCTCTTGCTTGTCTTATGACTTGATTATAGGTCAGAGATCCTTCCTAGACAGGAAAATGGTTATTTAATCTACTTGAAGAATTAACTTTATAACCATCAAAATTCTGTAGCTATTCCTACCCTTTGTTCTCATCAGTATGTCTGTGATTGTCCATCTAGCCAATCTTAGTAGTGTAGACCAAGGCCATGACACCACCCTTCCTCCTATGTAGAGATAACTGGGCACCAACCCTAGCTTCTTTAATTCCACCTTGAGTTAACAAAGTATTTGTGCATCAGCCAGATTCATCAGGAGGAGCACCTGCAGGAACATTATCTCCAAAAAAATTATTTTAAAAATGTAGAAGGACGCAACTGCCCTAAGTACTAATTTGCTACACAGCATTGGGAAGACAGTTGATCCCTTTAAAACAGCATAATCCATTCATAAATAATTTGAGAAAGTTGCTTTCCTTATTGCACAAAAAATGAATTTTATTGTGTTCACAGTAAGGGTACCAGGTTGAGAAGTTGTACATATATTTCAAAAATGAACATATAGTAGAGCTATAAATATAGGGGACTTGTGTCCAGATTCAGCACACCCAGCCTTCGTATTTGTTAGGGATTACCATACTGAGACATGAATTCTCCTGAAATTGATGATTGCATAGTGATAAAAGCAATATGCATTTTATTGTGTGATAGCTCTGTGCCACAATATGTTTGCAGCTGTAACTTAGAATTGGTCTGGCAGATTCGCCACCTGGCAGCCATGGTTTATAACTAACCAACTTTGTCACGCTGGATATCAGAAATAATGGCATGTTTCTCTAAAGACTTGAAATGTGAAGTGTGGGTTCACAGCAGGCACTGTATATCCAGGTGAGAGGAAACCTTAAGTTTAGACACTCTTAATTGGCCTGGGTATTTTTTTTTTTTTTTTTTGAATCACCCAAATTAAGTCCAGAAAGTCACACCTTGCAGGCAGGATTGCTCTGCACCTGCTCTGACCCTCGCCTCTGGCTGTGTTATCCATTGCCTTGAAGCTATTCCTTTGCTTACTGTAATGGGGGTTCTTCCGTCACAGTTGATTGCTACACTTAAGTGCAGTCTGCTGCATTCTGAACCTCAAGGAGCTGTAAAGGGAGATGGTTTCACCTCTTCATTCA